AGATAATATGGCTACGTGGTCTTCTTACAGAGCTTGGATTGTCTCAAGCACAACCAACTCCACTACATGCTGATAACACCTGTGCCATACAGATTGCAGCAAATCCAGTTTACCATGAACGGACGAAACACATCGAGGTCGATTGTCACTCTATCCGAGAAGCGTATGATCGTAGAGTCATCAATCTACCACATGTCTCAACATCCGTTCAAATAGCTGACATTTTCACTAAATCGTTGCCATGCCAGCGTCACAATTTTCTACTTGGCAAATTGATGCTTTTAGATTCACCAGCATCAATTTGAGGGGGGATATCAACATAATGAATGGCAAAAGATTTGCAATTGTATATTTATTTGTAACGGTTATTCTGTTAATTAGGATAATTAACCGTAGTTAATGTATATATTGCAGTTCAGCTTATTTAGTTGGCTGAAAATCAGCTTGACTGATTGTAATCATGTGTATTTATATGAAAATTCTCAAACAATAGTAGACAGTTTTTTGGCTCAATCTTCTCCGAGTTTAACAATACCAATTGAAGAAAATTGGTTAAGTTGGTTTAGACACGTAAAATGAAGGAAACAAGAGACACTAGTGAGAAGAGTAGATTGCACAGATTTTAGTTATGTGAAAAAGAAAAGAGGGGACCAAGGAAACTAGAGGAAGTGGTCAAGAGGAATCTAATGGTAAATAATATCTCTGAAACATTGTACTCTAACCAATTTGAATGTCATCATATGATCTACATACCCACCTCATCTTGATATATGGCTTGATTATTGTGAATGGAAGTTGGAGAATACATGCTAGAACAGTACTGCAGCAGCCATTTTTAGTGTAATAGCATGAATATGGAAAAGTAGGAATTCCATTCGTTGGATAATGGCATGTGATTTTCAATTAGTTATCCAAGCTTTTAAAGATTCAATATTGTTCCTAGGAGATTGCATAATAGATGGCTTAATTGCATGGAGAAGAAAAAAAAAACGCGAGGATTCACGAGCAGATAAAGTTAGGCAATTTTGGTATTGGTTCACAATGCTATAAAAGATGGGACAACCTTCTTTTGTTAATTCTGATATTTTTCAGAGATAGATTTCAATTCCCTTATTACAGATTTTCCCAGTGGATTTTTGTCTAGTCCACCCACCTTTATTTCTCTCCTATATTTTATAGCTTTGGGCGCTACAGATGATTGTTGTTAATTATAGTGTCAAGATAGTTGGGATGGCAATCAACACTGTGACGCTTCAGCACTACTATTATATTGGAAAAAAAAAATCAACTTGTTTGGATAGCTTTTGTGAATGTTCCTACCTAGATCAATGAGACACTAAGTCTCAATATTGAGAAAGGACAAGGGAGAAGAGAGTAGTTTTCAGTGACAGTAGCATCAAATCATTTATTGAAACTTGTTGACTTTTCAAGTAGTTGTAATAAACTAATTTAACATGTGATAATGCATGATTAGATAGTACCATAAAAAACCTGTACAACTAAAAACCCAAAACCATAACAAAAATATCAGTACCACATACCCGTAAAGCAGATTTACGTAAAGAAGATGAGCAAATGTAAGCTTTAACAAGCTTGTGGATTATCATATCCAAAGGTATCCTCATATCATCATGATGATTCACCAGCCATGGATGACCTGTGCATAAAACAATGCTATAAGCATGAGAATCAATGAGATCAAAAAGTAAGAATACTAATACCATACATGCACCACCATGGGAAATGGAAAGACATACTTAGTGCCTGAGCTGCTGTCAACCTTTTACGATAATCCTTGTTCAACAACCTCTTTACAAAATCTTTAGCATCAGCAGATAAAGAAGGCCAAGGAGCCTCATCAAAACTTGGATCTGCCTTGAGTACAGCCCGAAATATACCTGATTCACTCCGAGCCCAAAAGGGACGGCTCCCACATAAAAGAATATAAGCAATGACACCAATGCTCCACATATCTGCTTCTGTCCCGTAAGATCTATGCAAAACTTCTGGAGCTACATAATAAGCACTTCCAACAATATCATTCAACCTCTCATCTGAAAATAATTTCAGATTGTTACCACTAGTTGTTATAATCTCTGTCAATAAAACAACAGAAATATGAAAGCAGAGAATATGCCCGACCTGGCTTCACATAGTCAGACAATCCAAAATCAATGGCCTTCAACGTGGAATTTTCATCCTTAGAAGTGAAAAGAAAATTCTGAAGCATAAACCAATATTCAAGGTTAGAAAAACAGCAGAACAATCTAAAGTGAAGGAATATATACACCCATGTAAAGAAATATTCATTTGCATTTGTTATTTGTTTCATAATTAACATTAACACAAACAGTTGTCGTTCAGAAGTGTTATTAAACTATAAAGAATGAAAATGAAATGAACTCCCGTATATGTCATCCATTCATATTCACTCCATAACTATTATTTCCAGAACTGGAAGTGGCACAAAAAGACTTGCTTCTTCTAAAGTGAAAAGTTACGTTTTAAAACATTATACCTATTGTTGAGACATATGCTAATAGGATACCCAAACTGAGACGAAACTAACATTCGGGGCATCTAAAATATAAATCTATAATGCAATTAATCCCAAAAAACAAGAATACCTAGATGCCTAAGTTTCTCAGCTTACATAAAAGTTAAAGTTAAGAAACTTCATAACTTGCTCACCTCTGGCTTGAGATCACGGTGAACAACACCCTGCAGATGACAAAATGCTACAACACTTAATATTTGGATCATAACTACTCTGGCATCGTTTTCTGGGTACTTTCCACCCCTACATTCGACAATTGAACTTGTAAATGGTTGAATGTTAATGTATGCTATGCAAAGGTAAACTAATTAAATCTCAGCATGTCTCTTTGTATTGACAAACATCATTACCTGGAAAGAATCCTATCTAGCAATTCCCCTCCTTTGCACAACCTGAGTAGCACAAGACACATAAGAATGTAAGCTCTTAATGTCTCAACCCAAATTAACAACTTAAAGCTTCTTGCTTAATAATTTCAACGTTGAAAGGTAAAAAAAAAATTCAAGTTTGTAAACGGGATTCACAACATTGTTAGAAAAATGGTAGTAGTGCAGTATCAACTTACTCCATAACTATAAAAACATTTTCATCATCTTCATAGGCTTCATAGAATTGCACCAGATTCTTATGTCCAGTTAGAGCCCGCAATATCTTCACTTCTCTCCTTACATCCTCTATGGCAATTGCTGTAGTCATCTGCCAATCATACCCACTTGCATAATAAACAAAAGAGCACTCTTTTTCTGTGGTGCATGTAACTAACACAACCAGGGTATTAAACCACACTCAGGAACAAGGAAGCAGCTTCCTCACAATCTTTAATATTTACAAACAAGTGTATTTAGGTTTTGGACAAGTTTCTCTCTAAGGGCTTGCAGGAGAGAAAAGTAGAAAGAAAAAATTACATGAACTTCTCCATCAGTTAAAATTAGCTTAGGTACAAGCTAATTTGCAGAAGCTCTCTTGTACAGATTCTTATTCTACATAGATGAAATTTTGATGAAGTTATTTCATCCATGTTTAGCAAGGTAACATTTTTAATAGCTTTTAGCTTATTTTTATAAGTTCTTCATATCAGTGTTTTTAATAAATTTTGATGAAGTTATTTCATCTATGTTTGGCCAGGTAGTTTTTCTAATAGCTTTTAGCTTATTCTAATAAGTTGTTCATATTAGTGTTTTAAGATAATCTACGTAGATGAACTTATATTTTACCATCTTACTTCTTAAAAAAAAAAAAAAAAAACCAGTCCACTTATACTGTTATTTTTATGCAATACTATTTTTTTTTTCAATACTACGTTATTTAATATATTTATTTTTTCTTGAGAAATGGTAATTATTTCAAGTTATAGTGAAGAATAATCTTTTACACAAATATCACTTGAAATTAACTTATACAAAATTTTGTTAAACAACTAATTTTATGAAACACGTTAGTTTATCTTTTCAACTTTCGGCTAGTTTTTCATCATTCAACTCTTAACTTTAAGCTAATTTTTCCAATTTCAGCCAATATTTTCTCTATTAATTCTTCGTTTGATTTTGTTATCAAGGGTATGACAGCACTGTATATATGTAAATAATGTCACCTTATTTAATCTAGTAATAAGTTTTGGCCAAAACTTATACATAGTAATATAGGTATTTTAGGTGTTCCTCCCATCTATTCATAATTTCCTCTTAATATGCAATACATATAATAAAATATATATTAAGGTGAAACTCCAAATATAATTAGAGGAAAACAGGTTCATTGTTTATATAAGTTTAAGGGTAAATGACCCAACTTAACTCATACAAGAGTGGATTAAATAAAACCCAACTTAATTTAATTGGATCGGGTCGAATTGGGTCATGGAATAACCCGACCCAACCCCATGAACACACTTACATGAGTTTTCTCCAATAAATTTTATTATACAGTCTCAGGATGCTATATGCAGGTATTTCGGTATTTTGGAGGGAAGACGTTAACAAAAGTGAAATATTTTAATTAAATAATAAAATATAATCTATCAACAAATTTATTATCAACTAAATTAACCAATTTCTATACTATAGCAAAATTAAATAACTAACATAAATGAAACGAGTGAAAAAACAATAAAAAAAAAACAAACTGTTTCGATTTAATTCAATCACAGAATTTAATTAACCAAATTTTCAAAAATATCGTCTTACGCCGGAAACTTTTTCAGAATTTGGTATCTGGAGTCGAATTCTAGAAGTTTTCCACTTTCTTTTCAAACAATTAATTAAAAAAGATAAAGAATTTAGAGAAATAAATTAAAAAAAATGTTATTACACTCTCGTTAAACCAAATTCCGGCATGCTATTTAACGTTTCGAATTTAGCTCTACGAAAAAAGTGTATTATTATTATGAAAAATAATTTTGGAAGTTGCATTTGCAGAAATTTCTTTAAAATTATATATATATATAAAGAATTGAAAATATTATTAGTATGAGATGAGACCTTGGATTTCGGAATGACTTTGACGGCAACGTCGATGCCTTTGAGGGGGCCCTTCTTGGGCTTGGCGGAGCAGGTGTAGCCGAAATGGCCGCGGCCCACTTCTTCGCCGAGCTCGTAATGGGCCGAGAACTGTTTGGCGAAGCCGAAGCTCTTATCCAGCCCAATCTCACACTCGCTGCCTTCAGGTATGGAGGCTTCGTTCGGCTTCACGGAGCCGTGGCGCCGAGCGAGGAGAGCGCGAATGTGCTTGGCCGGCGACGGAGGAGGGAAGGGGCGCTTGAAGATCCTCAACGGTGTGGAACTCACGCTACTAGGGTTTGAGTTCGCCGGCGAGTTTTTAAACCAACTCTGCAAAGGGCTCGGGCTGTAGAATGGGAATTTCGAGGGTTTGGGGTTTGTTGATGTCGGAACTTCGCTCGGGAATTCTGGGTTTTCTCTCTCACTCTGCTGGGTCTCGATGGGTTTTCCATGGCAGATTCCCATCAAATTACTTCAACGAACAATGATAGCAAGGAGAAAAAACAAAAATATTTCACCAGAGCGAAATTCGAGATCAGGGAAGTCCCCAATTCAGAGCATTTTGAAGCTCAGATATTACGCAGTAAAAAAAAGTGTTATTTACTGTAAGAGAGAGAAAAGTGGCTGTGTGCAGAATTTCTTCAAAAAATAAAAAAAGAAGTAGAAGCAAAGATTTCAGCAAAGTTCAAAACTTGAGATCAGGGTAGTGTCCAATTCAGAGTCTTTTGAAGCTCAAATATAGATAATTGAGAAAATTCAAAGGTTAAAAGAAAATGAGTTATATACTATAGATATGTAGAGAGAGAAAGCAAGAGAGACAGAGAGAGAGGAACTGAATTTTCTTGTGGGGTTGATGAATAAAACCCAGAAAATATGAATGAGGGAAATTTCTGGAATGAAAAGAAGGGAAAGATTTGGGTAAGAGGATAGGGTTTTTGAGGGATGAGAAGTGGAAATCTGAGAGAATTGAAAGAGAAGTGAAGGTTATTGAGATTGAATAATGGAGAGAATTTAGTGAAAAAAGAAGAAGAAAAAGCAAGGAAAGGAAGAACACTAGGGAGAAAAAGTGAGGGAAAGAAGATGCTTGCTTAGCAGAAGCCTGAAGGAAAAGAAAACCAAGCCTCCTTTTTCTGCTTTTTGTAAGGCTTTTTTTTTTTTTGTTATGTTATTTTATTGTGTATATATGTTAGTGGTACCTTTGGTAAACAGTTCTGTGTAGAAATACACTTTATCAGAGAGTGTATTGTTTCTTGTCTGACAATAATGGTGAGTGGGGTTGTGTTTGGATCCTTCCAGCCTGTCCTTATTGATCCCACAAAAAACTTGTATGTGTTTCTATGCATTTCATATGGGAACTGCCTCACAAGAACAAGTCAAAAAACTCTATCTTTTTTATTACATGTTTGTGATATATTTTTCAAAAATTATAAATTGTTCTTTTTCTTAATATACTCAAGTCTTTCTTTAGAACAAAATCTCATTATGTTATATATTTACATTCATAGTAATACTGTTAGTGTGAATATGGTAAAAGTAATGAAAATAAGAAAGTGGAAAAAATTCAAGCTTTCACTATAGATAAACTTTGAAGTTTGACCTTATTTTATAATTGGCTTTGAAAGGCTGTCTTTTTCTGCTTTATCTATTGTTTTAATTTGTGCATGGTGGGTCTGTGTTGTTTTGACAAATAAGTGGCTAGAGAATGGGGAAAAAACATTTCAATTGGGGGAAAACTAAAGCTCAAACAACATTTATTTGGTCCTTTTTTAGTCTTCTTCGAATTCTTTTATGTTGTTATCCTAAGTTTTCTAATTTCTTATGTTAAGTTAATGATGTTTTTTTTTTAAATTTATTTATTGATTATCGAATCTGTGATTTTCTTTTTCTTTCAGTGGAATCGATTCAATTGTGTATTATCACTTGTGAGATGCAACAAAGGGAATGTTTGTAAACACTGATGCAAACTTATTGACTTAACATAACCACCATGAAATGTGACTAAAATAAAAGTAAATTTTCGTAACTTCAACATTGCTATTTCTAAAATAAATCATGATTTTATACTTAATATTAATTATGTTATTATAATGTAATTTCCATTTATCTATAGAGAGAGAGATTACATTTTAATGTAATGTACAACGATTAAATTGCATTTTAATAATAATATATAGGAAAATATCTAAAAAGAATATTAAAAACGACAATTATTTAAATTAATTGAATTCACGTAACAAATTCTAGCAAGAAAAAAATCATCAAACATTTAATTCATAAAAAATTCAATTAAAATGTTAGATGTTGTGGTGGCAATAACATGTGAAGGAATTTCTAATATTTTTGAGAGAAACATGATCTAACACTTAGATCCACAATAAATGTTCAAATAACATTGCACGAGTTACTTAAAATTTGTCTGGTCCAGCTATGGTAGCAATCCAATTTTCACTCTTCTCTATATTTTGTTATTCAATCTTTTTTCTTGGTATTGGCATGATATTGCTCTCATATCTAGGAGTTTTTTTTTTCCATAATTTGGCACATTATCCATTACATTTGTTGTAATGCACTCAAACAGGTTTAATATAGGTTTGTCCCTATCACACAATATTATACTATTAAATGATCTATACAAGTTATTCACTAAATCATCACATTTTTTACAATAACTAAACGTATAATAAATAGAATTAAATTTTTAATTGATAGGTAGAGTATAAATGTATAATAAATTGAGATGAAGTATTTTAAAAGTGACATAAACTAAGGAGTGAAATAGAAAGATAAAAAATATATATGAAAAAATATAATAGACCTCATTATTTTAATTTTTTTTTATATTTTCTATTGTTATCTATGCTTCCTCAACTAAATATTATTGATAAGTATGTTTAAACAAGGAGTAACCTTTTATGTTTTTTTAGTGTTAAATATCAATTTTTTTATTATTAAGTATGGACTTTTTTTAAAATTTATATTTTTCTTTTTCTATGTATATTTGATACATAATTATTATTAATTGAATATTGTATTATATATTTTAAATTTTCAATCAATCGACCACGTAGACAAAGTAATCATTGTTACACCTCTAATTGACTCTATCTCAACCATGTGTCAAAATGTTTTAACATTCTAATAATCACGATACAACTATTCAATTAAAAATAATTTGATTAAGATACACCACCATAATAAGTCAAATTATGACATTAACAACTTTCTTAGGATATGGGACGGTAATAATTTGGACCCTAATGAGACCAAAAAGTAAAAATATCATTATGAGAGTTTTAACTTTCTAACATTTATTATCATTAGAAAGCACTACTTAACTTAGTGTTAGAAACTCTTTGTAGATACCCTCTTTTTTGTCGAGACTAAGCTTGAGTCAAGAAGTGATTTAGGAGAAGCATACATTATCAGAAGAGTTGTTAGAAGAGTTGTTAGAAGAGATTGATGATTATGTGAGGATCACCTTGTTCAGATAAAAAAAATACACATGCATTTTGTGATTGTTTATTTATTTTTGTATATATTGATTATTTTTGTGTATTGTATGTCATAAGTATAAATTCAAATGTTATAATATAAAATGTTTTATGTATGTGAAGTATGAATGACACGATGTTATGGTATATGCTATTGAAAATAGATTAATGACCTAGGTTATGAGAGATAGGATCTTCCATATAACGAGTGAATCATACATCATGACATATTTTGCATTTGTTAAGTACAATTATGATAATTGCAAAGCTATAAAACTCTTATGAGTGATAGGGGTGTAGTCCTTGTAGTGTAAGGGTGTCAACTCATCAACTCACATGTATTTCTAAAATAGTTTTAAAAGCTTTGAAATGGTATCACATTTGATGAAGTAATAATGAAAAATACATAACATACAAATGTATTTGATTGTATACAACATGTAACCAAGATCATGGTGCACTAGGAGGGATCATGTCATGCTAAGTTAATTAGATCATCACTACTTGCATTTAAAGATAATAATATATCAAACCTAACGTTAAGATATGGAATTAATGTGATCTCCATATATTACACATTACTATAATAAATGACATATCTTAGTCATGCCCATCCAGATAACTAACTATCCATACAAAAAGGTATATAAAAAAAAATCAATCACCAGATAAAATACATATACATATAATTTCATGACACTTCCTCACTTGAGTATCAGAGTCTTTGCATATATATATCACCTTAATTTAGACATAAGAAGAAAACATTCTAGATGAATAGAAAAAGAAAAAACATCTTAGACAACAAAACAGGAAAAATTGAGATCTTATAAAAACATCTTGATCACACACAAAAATAAATTGCAATATAATATCTTGAATCACATTATACATGTGTGCTTGTATTGTGTGTCATGCAAGTTTAGATAAATATAATAATAAAAACCGTATAAACTTTGTTTGTATATATACTAACTTAAAGGTATGGAAGAAGTTATATCTAAAATAATGTGAACCTATGTAATTTATATATACGGTAGAAGATATGATCCTGAGTATAATATGGAGTAATTAAGAATGAACTTAATATTTGATTTTTGTGGGCCATTATATGTATAGTATGGAATCAATGATATATCTAAGTATGAAATTTGGATATAGATAAAGTTGAGTACTAAAGGTATTAATAAATTGGAATGATATATTATAGATCTATTTGTTTATTTTATGTTTTTAGAAAAGGTTTTTTAATAAAATAATTTCTTGTTATAGTGTTTAAGTAATTTTTTAAGAAATAATTTAGAGTTTGTCAGGACCCTTAAATTCAGTAGTTGGTGGAGTACAGGTGTCAATGAAAGGGTTCAGAATTTCAGAAAGTGGAAGACAGGTGGTTGTAGAAGAGTGGACCGATCGGTTTGTGTAGGAGTTATATAAGCTGAAATTTTGAAATTCGGTCCCACTTTCTGCATGCACCCTTCTTCTCCAAACTACTGAACCCCATTTTCTCCTCCTTCTCTCTACAATCTCCATCTTCTCTTTACGATTTCTCATCATTTTCTTCTTCCGATCATCATTCAAACAACGCCTGAGTATTCTTGGTGCCAAGAGCTACACTTTGCACCAATCAAGTTGTGGTTTAAGCTGGTGAGTTATTTCTCTTCTTAGATCGTTCGTTTTCTGTCACATGCAAATCCAGAATTCTGGTTGCATGAGTTTATCATCTCATTCTGAGAATTTCTGGTCTTTTGTTTGGTTTAGTTTCATAAATCGTGACCTATAGAATTCTAAGATTTCTGGTGGTGAGCTATTCTATTCAAACTGTGAGCGTTCGACTATGTTTAGAGGTAAGTGAAACTTATATAATTTGATTATGATTCTTGTTTTGAATGGTTGCATGTTTGTTGATCGTTGGATGAATATGAAGTATGATTGTTACTGAATGTTTGGCTGTATGAATGTATGAGTTATAAATGATGAGAAACTAGATTGATATAGGGTTTGATTTTAAGTCTGCAGTATTCTGCGTAATTTCGCGTTGTCACCGAGAGTCATTATTGACCGTTCAGTTTATCCTTGAGTATTCGGTCTAGACTGGATTTCTTCTTCTGTGGAGAATTTCAGTTAATGATCGATCGATTTTCTCTTAGTATACTTGTAAGTAAGCGTTCGGTCTAAGTATAGTTTCCCTTTATGTTCCCTAATCAGTTTAGTTAATGTATTCTATAATACTTAAAGTTGTAGATATTATTTTTATCCTTCATTGAAAATAAGTGTTGTGTAATAGTATATATATATATATATATAT